GACCGTGTCGGGCGGGAGACACCAGAGACGAGGCCGCACTGCCTCAGCTCGGCCGCGGGGCGCAGGCCTGCACGGTGGGCCCGAGGGCCGAGCCGGAGGGCCGGGCGGCGTCACCGGGAGGCGCCCGCACGCCCTCACTGCTCACCCCCAAGCCGGGCTCTGTTTTCTGTGTTGGATCGTCTCCATCCCTCAGATTCGCTTTTAAACAACCACCGCAAACAATCCACCCAGAAACCGAGCTAAACTTAGGGCTTGAAAATGAGCTCCTACCACAGTCTCCTTCCCTGAGGACAAGTGTAATCACTGCCCTGCAAGGCAAATCTGCCCAAAGATGGACAACTCACATAAAAGGAGGCCTGTTGGCACCCGCAGGAACCAAGGGGATCCTGTGAGAAGATGCCGGCATTTGCAACAACTGCTGTGACACGAAACCGCACAGAAGGCGGAGCGAGAGACGCAGAACCCGTGGCCGCCGTGTGCGTGTGCGTGCAGCGCCGTCCCCCACGAGCCCCGCCCGCCATTCCGCCTCCGCAGTCCGACGCGGGAAGGCGGCTGCCAGCCCTCACTGGGCGTCAGTGCTCACGGAACCTCAGGGGATCGCAGCTGCCGCCTCCAAGGCACAAAGTCGGACGGCGGCACCGCCAGTCCCTCCCCTGCCCTCCGGACAGAACCAGCACCTTCGCCGCTAACAGGCAGTTCCGGTTCGGGCCTCAGGCCACACGCTCTGTCCTGCCCACCGGAAAAAAACAATCTCTGCGCCTGGGTTTGCCTGTAGAACAGACAGTGGAGGGAGCGGGCTGTGTTGCGGTTTTTATTTTCGTTTTCTTGAAAGGAGCCGTGGATCAGGAGCGGCGCGTCCTCTCAACTCTGACTTGCGTTCGGGCTGGGCGGCCGGCCGGCGCCAGGGCTGCGGTGCTGGCCAGAGCCGCAGGAAGGCAGGTCGTCACTCGGCCAGGGACGGGGGAGACCCCCTGATGCCCAGAGGCTGGTGGGGAAACGGGGGGTCAGCGTCTGTGCTCTGGCCCCATCGCTGCCACCCCAACCTGGAACAGAACCAGAGCGCGCAGCCAGGAGGACCTCGTCCCAGGCCAGAAATCCCGGACGAAGGCTTAGCAAACGCCCCTCACACCTCAGCGGTTAATGTCAGGTTCAAGGTCTTTCGCACTTAACACGCAGTCACCTTGATCTAAGAGCATTACACACTTGTGGACAAAAAAAGGAGACAACATTTGAAGGGGAGAATGTTTGAAAAAAGTACTCGAAATACCTGTATTTTCTTGAATGTACGCAGCTGCAAATCTGCTCCTCTCTACTTTACAGCTTCTCGGCCTTCTCCCGAGCAGCAGATGGAGACCGCGCAGGTTCGAGTGGTTACGCACCAGGACGACACACGGCTCACCACGAGCCAGGCCAGAAGGACACTGGCAGCCTCGGGCAGCTCCACCAGGCGTGGTCTCAGCCCCCCGACTTCGCGCGTCTGGTCACAGGGCCCACCGGCCAGTCCGGGTGGCAGCGGCCGCGCCTCCCAGGCCGCTGTCCCCTTCAGTAGCCACCGCGGCCGGCCACCGGGCGGAGGAGAGTGACCCGCTGCGGGCACAGGACCCGCTACAGAAGCAACTTGACAAGTCTGGCACCGCAAGAAAACGCGCTACGGAAAAGGGCGGTCAGGCCGGCAGCCGCAGAGGGGAAGGAAATCCTCTGGATCCGCGCGCAGCAGGAGGGACGCAGTACCTCCAAGACACAGAGAAGCCCCGGGTCCCAGGCAGTCAGGGACTGAAAGGGCGTCCCCAAGTGGGAGGACCTCGCCGATCGACCCGCGCCAGGCCCGCACCTGGCGTCCGACTCCTCGGACAAGCAGCAGCCTCGGCCCAGGGGCGTGCGGACGGGGTCCCGGTAGGAACGCGGCGCTCAGCGAGGGTGCGCGGGTCCGCGGTCACCACTGGATTCTCGTGTCACCTGGGGCCGCAGGGGCCGTGTGCTCGGGCGCAGCTGCCTCGCCTCTACAGGGGCCGCCCGCACGCGCCCCATTTCCCTCTTCTGGGTTTTCTGGCTCCATAAACACGAGCCTCGCGAGGGCCCTTCAGAGCTGGCTGCGAGGCTGTTGTTGACACAGGCTCGCTGCGCACGCTTACGAGGCGCTTCCACCGCCTGCGAGGCCTGGAGAGCTGGCCGGGTGCCTCATCCCTTCCCCTAACGACGCTGCGTGCGCACCACGCGGACCTTCTCCTCCTCCGGCCTCGCAGCTTCCAAGGCGTCTCCGAGCCGACGCCAGGGTGAACGTGGTGGCCACTCCCCGCGCGCCCTTACAGGCGGCCCGCGCCTCCCGCCGGCCTCCGCTGCACGGCTCCGCTCGCGGCCCCCTGCCCCCACAGCTGGCCCCGACAGTGGCTGCGGAGGACAGAGACCAGCGCTGCCGGGGACCAGCTCTCTCCTCCCATGCGAGTCTCCGGTTCCGGTGAGTCCGCTGTGGCACCTGGCACCAGGCGGTCCCGTTCCAGGTGTCCCCGAACCGCTTGCGTCCTGCGCTGGGGGACAAGGGCCCCAAGGGCCCACCTCCTGCTTCTGGGAGCCGCTCTCTTCTCCTCCGCGGTCAGCCAATCACGTGTGCCCTGTGTTTATTTCCTCACATTCTTTTGAAAATTGTAGACTTAAGATAAATTTATAAATAGCTCATAGCAAGCTTTATTAATTTTACAGACGTTGGGAACTTGCCCAAATTAAAAAGGATACTTCTATTTCATTTAATTCCTTAAATGAAATTCCACTGGAAAATTCAAAGCACGGTCCTGTGTTTCCAAAGAAGGCATAGCCGGTCCAATTTACATTAAAAAAAATGTGCCAGCTTGCTACGGGTCTCTAAAACGCTACACCTGCCTTCTCAAGGGACTAGAACTCGTAATTAAATTTTAAGAAACTTACCATTTAATCTAATTCTCTCAACAGTCAGATAGTTTAAGGATTTTATTGAAATCATATCCAAAAAGCATTTTCTCTTCTTTCTGGGTAATGCAAATGCATCTGGTTAGGAAGGATATTTGAAATTTTAATTGCAAATGACTTTCAATTAGTTTCTCTTTTTGCTGTATATGGTTTCCTGTATTTTCCTTTACCTTAAAATCAGCACCTGGAGACCAGTAAACTGAAGATCATATTCCTACTGAGAATTTCGGGAAAATGCACCACTCGGAAGGCAGCAAGCAGAGCTTCAAAAGGGAAGAGCGGGTCAGCGGGGTCAAACAGAGACTCTGAGCAGGAGGCCGATGGCAAGGAGGGCGGGGGCCGCCAGGGGCAGCCCTATGCTCGGTGGGATTCCCCGGGGGCGCGAGGAGCAGGGGTGGCGTGGGGGGGGGGGCCTGAGGAAGCTGGACTTCCTGGGCTCTCTGATGCGGGACCTGGGGCCCTGAATTCAAGGGACCTGCTGTGCGTCCTCCGTGGTCACACAACCTTCATTGGAAGCCGGGGCGGGGCGGTGGGTGCAAACTGCCTCCGGAACCGCCCGCGGGGAGCCCTGGGCCTCCGCGTCCCCTCAGAGCCGGCAGTCACAGTCCAAACGACCACCTCGCGTGGTGGTGCCCGAGCCGGGGGTCCGTGCGGCCAGGAGGCGGCTGTCACCGCACCGTTAGCCGGACAGACCTTCCGGTCACTAATTTGAAAAGCTACTTTTACCATAAACTAAATCCACATATATGTGTGTCTATATCTGGACTATTTCAGTCCATTTGGTGGCAAACCTGTCGGTATTTAGTTGTAACTGCTTGGAGTTTATGAACTCATCGGAGAAGAACTGGGATGTTCACAGTGTTTAATCTACTAAAGGGGGGGCTCAAAAGCCCTCTTTTATGTCTGACATTGGAAGGCAGTTCCTTCTTCATGTGCCTCCTCAGCTTGTCTTTTTCAGTTTATAGTTACAAATTTCCCTTTGAGTTGCTATTGTCAATGATATTACTATTTGCATTGTGTGACTGTGTGTGTGTTAAACAAGAAAGATGTAGGTGTTTTCTCAAATGAACAATTAAAGTTTAAAAGAAACAATCTAAAGCAAATTAAAGTTTTGAACAGCATCCGACCTTCATGGAGCTGACACACATGTACAAGTTCACGCGGACAACACTGCCACGCGACACAGAGAATAGAGGGTGGCCTCTGTCGCCCGTGCGCCGCTTTCCTCACGTGCGCCGTGCCGCGGCGGTGACGGGGCTGCCACGCAGGGTCTGCTCAGTCCGGCCCTTCCCCTCTGGACACCAGCGGAGCTCGGGCTCAGCTCCGACCCCCCGCGGAAGCCAGCCCTGCCCGCCTGTGGCCGGAGCAGGGAGCGGGCGGTGACAGGAAGGCCCCCGTGCGGACCATGGTCCTCGGGCACAGAGGGGCTTCTGCAGGGTTGGATTAGCCAAGACTCAGAAAAGGTTTCCATCTTTCCTATCCCTTTATCCCCGTCCTCTGAAACCTTTCAATTTAAAGAAAAACTGAAAACCGCTTTACAAATCCAGACGCCGCTGCAGCAGACTTTCACCGTAAGCAGCTTCGCGGGCCCCCTGACGTCCTTGGCGGCTTCTCGGCTGCTCTCGTGTGACTCCCCCCCAGGCCCCAGCCCGTGGCCCGGCTGTGTTCTGGTAAGACTGTACCTACAAAGCAAGTGGCCAGGCTGGGTGTGTGGCCAGGCTGGGTGTGTGGCCAGACGAGGCCTGTGGTTCAGGCTCTCGGCCCCTGTGCTAGACCAGCACACTTCCCAGCCATTCGCTACTTCTGTGTTGAGACACTAGGCTGATAGAAGGCCGAGCACTGAAATGGATGACAGGCAGGACGTTCGCCCAAATCCTTTCTGCCCAAGCCCTCGGGGCAGGCCGAGCGCGACCGGCACGCGGTCACTCCGTGGAGGAGCCGTGGACCCGAGTGTGTGATCAGCACACACCACACACCACACTGGGACGGGCCCTGCCCTGAGGAGGGTCAGGCCGGAGAGGAAGCCACCCCGGCGGTGACAGAGCGCCGCTGCGACTCACCAGTCCCGCACGGCGGCGAAGGAGCCCTCGTTTGTGACGTCGTACATCAGGATGAAGCCCATGGCCCCGCGGTAGTAGGCGGTGGTGATGGTCCGGTACCGTTCCTGGCCCGCCGTGTCCTGAAACAGCAACAGTGATCTCTTTAAAGTAAGGCGGTCCCCCTTTTGGAAAGCGACTACTGATTCCAGCAGCGGTCGTCACAGAGTCTAAACTGTATTAGCGATCGAGAGCTATGTATCTGTTTCAGTCTTGTTTTTCCTAATGATTTTCATATGGCAGCTCCGCAAATTATGAAATTTTTTTTTTTTTTTGGTAAACAGCACCTTGTACATATTTCACTCCCATTAAGCAGCATCTCACTATATAAAATAAAATAAAATAAAACAAAGTGAAAGACTACGCGCATGAACGTGTGACCCGGACAGTTTAGAACCAGGAGATGCGGCCGCTCCGCCACCAGCGCGCTGTCTGCCGACCGAGCGCAGGCCCCGTGGGGTGACAGAGCCATTTGTGGAAAGGGCCCTGCTTTTAAAAGCAGCAGCTCAGTCTCAGTTGAGCCAGCTGCAGCCGGAGGTTTAAAAATGCCCTCCTTGTGAGGAGGGCTGGGTCACATGACCTGGGTCCCTGCTTGTCCTCGCAGGCTGGGCCCGAGGCCGTGAGTCCAGGTGCTCGTTAGGGGGACGTGGGGTGACGCACGGGAGAGCGCACGCAGCGCCGTCGGTGAACGGCACGCCCGGCCTCCGCTCCTGAGACCCGGGGCGTGGGGCGAACACAAGGCGGCGGCAGAGCGGGGCGTCCGGCCGCCGCAGTCCCCTCGCTGACGCGGAAGCAGCCTGTGCGCGGCGGACACCGTGCGGCGCAGCTCAGGAAATGATTCCTCAGCTCGGCGGGCCTCGCAGGGTCGGGGCGCCCCGGTTGCCCCTCACCCTGGGGACGGGGCCCTGCCGTCTCTCCCAGGACTCAAGGTCCTGCAAACCCACGTTGCCGGAAGTGCTACCCTCCTCCTGACTTCAGTCTGGACCCCCTGTCTCCTGTCTCCCCGGGTGCTTCTTGGCACACAGCCTGCACCCCGGCGACCCCAACACTTAACAAGCCTTGAAGGGAAAGGCAACGTGCTGGATGATCCAAGGACAGGCCCCTTTATCATCAGAATGAACCCAGCCTCTCCCGGGCCTCGCTGTGGGGACCCGGAGAGGCTGGTGAGCACCCCCTCTCCCACGGGAGCCTCCAGCAGGGGGCTCACAGCTCCCCCGATGGATGTGGTGCCGTCTCTTTGGACCCTGGGAGTTCAGAGAAGGGTGATCGAGGAAGACTGGAGAAATCTGCAAATGACGGGGAGAATGCGGAGCTGGGAAATGGACGTGACGGTCAGCTGAGGCTGTCACTTTGCAGGAAGCAGGGACAGGACCCCCCCCCCCCCATCCCTCCACAGAAGGAAACACCCGCAGCGCGGAAGGGGCCTCGCCAGGCGCTGAGCTGCGATGTCACCACTTTCTTTTCCCCTCTGCCCCCCGCCCCAAGGTGCTCCTCGCATTCGGACAGTGACGTGACTGGGGAAACACGCAGGCTGTGCCGGGGCAGGGCTCGGGGTCCTGGTACGATGCAATGAAGCATTTCAGGAAACCACAGGGCGGGAGCCATCATGCGTCATGGAGGGAGCAGACAAACACAGCTTTCCAAAAAGTGCTTTGAAGCCTAAAATTTAGCACTTAGAGAACAGCAGGGGCAGGACTTGCCCACCATTTCGATTTAAGCCCAGACACACAATCTAATCGGAGGCGGTTGTCCCGGGAAAGTCTCAGGGAGAACGCAGACGCGCCACGCGGGGGCAGAGAGTAGGAGATGCAGAGGACATCTGCCCGCCAAAGGCGAAGGGTCAGCCAAGCCAATCAGCAGACACCAGGCTGGCTCTGCGTGGGATTTGGGTGTTGAAACAACTTGAGGATCACAAATGCATTAGCACTTTCTCTCCTGTGACATCAGGAAGAAAAAGAAGCTAGAAGAACATTTCCCTCCACTCGACCTTCCCTGACGAAGCTGACATCTGCAAGGAAAGACCGTTCTACAACGTAGTCGAACGTGGGGGTCGCAGGTCGCCTGGCGGCAGCGCACCTCTCAGCCTGCTGGGAAGTGGCTCTTCTGCCCAGCAGATTCTGCTAGCTGGGGACACCTGCTGATTTTCTAGAAATACAGGCTTCTCAGATTGAAAACCACACCTCTTATAAGGTATAAGGGAAACCTCTTATACAGAATGAGAAATAAAGAAAACTTTCTTTTATGGGTTTTTATCTCCCTCTCTTTTAAGAAAAATGAAATCATTCTGCTTGGTTTAAATATTTTGATTTCTCAAACATGTTTTTAAAAGAGATTTGTGGCTTTGATGACAGGTTCGATTAGCAAATACTTGAGTATCTGTCAAAAAAAGAACCATGAAACTGAAAACGTTAGCAGCCTGGTGAGTAGCAGCTGAAAGCAGTTTTGGTATGAATGCTGGCATTTTTGTCTTGGTTTTTGCCTTGAATTTTTTCTCTGATAAAACATTTTATTTTTTTAACTATATGAACTGCATTTTCAAACCCTTTGCAGGTTGTGCAGAGATAAGATAAAGTTTTAACACTGAGTAAATAGCTTTCATTTGTAAGGCCTGGGTTATCCTGTGGTTGTTTTTTTTTTTTGTTTTTTTGTTGTTTTTTTTTTTTTTTTGTCTTGGTGGTTACCTCTCTCTATATGGGATTAAACAAAAAATGCAGGTAACCATTAGTGACAAAACATAACTCAAACAGTCTCCACAATCGAAATACACTTACTGAACCTCTCCACAGAGTAGAATAGATTGAAGGACAGCCAGTCCTGGTACATGATAAAGCAGGTAATTTTGTAGCTGGAGAAATCAAACTAAAACACATTGCTGTTGACTGGTCAGCAAAATAATTTGAACAAGTTAAAGGGAATAATAAGAGATAACCCAAGGAGGATGTCTATAGAAATGGAGGATGAGAAAAAGGCAACTTAAGACATAAGACAGACGTGAGGCGGTGCATCTCCAAATGCACAGGGTGGAGGCGGAATCAGCCCCTGAGGCGCTTGGCGCTGGAGCCAGGAGAGATCCCTTAGGCCACACTCCGCTGCGTCTCACCTGGAGGGATTATCTTGAATTCCCAAAGGAAGACGGAATCGGGCTCGAGGCCTCGGCAAGGTGATGACTGACTCGCTCCTCTTTCCTTCATTCAGTTGTTGAAATCCAACATGTTGGATTTCATGTTGGATACAACATGTAGTGAATGCCTTTTGCCAGTTAGGGACTGTGACTTGTATGTTAAACTCATTTCATCTATTCTAGATGTATTTTTGTATATTTTAAAATTCTACACATAAAGCATTTCATTAATCAGAATATCATGTTCCCTATATGTCTACAAAAGAGTAGATAAAATTGTGAAAATGTCATTGCTCGAGAGCCAGACCATGTAGCTAACAATGCAAAATTGCAGTCGATGCTGCACCACCAGCCCCGGGGCGCGCGTTACAGCCAGTGTTACGTGTGCTCCCCCAGAAAGGAGCACTGAGGTCCTGCCTGCCAGGCCTGGGAATGTGACTCCATTGGAAGCAGGGCCTTCGTGCTGGACGAGGCTGGGCCTCCGCTGGCCTGGAGCCCCTCCAGGGGACGCGACAGGGGCACAGGCACGCGGAGGCCGCCGGCGGGCAGAGGCAGAGACACGGCCCGGGGGTCAAGGGCACCGAGGCCGGGACGCGGGCCGGGCCCAGAGCCGCACCCCTGCCCCCGCCCCGCTCGGTGCAGAGACAGCGTGGCGCTGCCGGTGCCCCGGGTTGGGGCGTCCAGCTTCGGAACTGCGAGCCCACGCGTTTCTGTTGTTTTAAGCCGCCCCATGCGTGGTGCTTCGTGACCGCAGCCCCAGGAAACGCACGCGGTCACTGAGCCCACGCAGCTATGCCCACGATCCGGGCAAAAGCAGGGAAAATGTCGCAGCCACCCGCACAGCCACACACCAACAACAGAAGAGAAAATACGGAAAATTAAAGGCAGTTTGTGAAGAAGTCTCACGTGTGAATTCACGTAGCCTGTTAGGCTAAAATGCATTAATATATTACACTTACATAAAATTAATTCTGTTCAGAAAAAGGAGGAGTGATATAGCTTATTGCTTTAAAGAAGTACGTCTTCGTATTTACATGTTGTGTGCAGATCAGTGATTTTCAGCCTTTGCCATCTCACGGGACACATAATTACCAAAATTCTGTGGCAAACGAAAAACTACATTTTTTCCCAATCTGACAGGAAATAGCTATAATGTTGATTTATTCACACCAGATGGATATTGTTGTGTTAGCTGTTGCCATTTTTTACTTCACAATCTCAGGGACAAGGGTCAGTGTCCTGGCTACACCGTCAGGTCTTGCACCCTTTAAAGCTTCCTGTGACAGTATAAAGACATACACGTGCATACATGCATGGTCATTGGAAAGGCAAAGCACTATTGCTTGAAATGACAAAACGACACATTGCTTCATCTTGGAATTTCATCTCGAGGTGACTGAGACGCTGCTACAGAAAACCCGGAAGCTGCGATGTTCGCTGAGACTGACCTGCACAAGGACAGAAGCAGCGAAGTGCTGACTGCTGCATGTGGCGTCTTTTGTTCGATGCTACTTTCTCCAAAGTTGCATTTTGATTTTTTTCATTTCCATAAATAGGCAGGCATAAAGCAGCACTGAATTGAGTCTTATAAAAATAGTAAGCTAACCAAGACACTTAAGTATTTTATGCTTTCTTGCTGCGTATTTATTTTTGGAATAAAATAAGAACTTTTCCCCCTTATAGCAGTTAATCTTCTGTTAAGATAAAATGTACAAGCCTCCTTTCCCACTGACCTTGTGCAGATTGGTCTGGACTCAGTCGCATAGGCAGGCGTGTAGGATGGTGAGCCAGGCCCGCGCTTCAGAAATGGCGAGCCTCTGACTAGCTCCGAGGATGGCGTTGGGCCGTCCTTGCTGCTCACACCAGCGGGTCTCCTGATGAGGCTGTCTCCCCAGACGCTGCCGTGCTGCATGCTGAAGTGCCCAGATCTTCACTGTACAATAGCACCCACCCCTCACTAAA